AAAGGAGTTTATCAACACCAAACCAGCACTGCAGGAAATGTTAGAGACTCCTATAAAAACAAGAAGAGAGAGACGCCTAGGCATAAAGAATTACAATGGTGCCTGGCCAGGCATGGCTCAGTGGTTGAGCACAGACCTAGGATCTAGGATAACACGGTTCGATTCCCAGGCAGGGAATATGCCCAGGTTGCGGGCTCTATCCCCACTCAGGGGATCAGTCAGAAGGCAGCCAATCAATGACGACTCTCTCATCATTGATGTTTCTATCTCCCTCTCTCCCTCTCCCTTCCTCTCTCTGAAATCAATAAAGATATATTTAAAAAAAAAAAAAAAAGAATTTAAATGGCAATAAATAAGGACCTATCAATAATAACCTTAAGGACTTTAAGGGAGAAATCAACAGCAATGCAGTCATAGTCATGGACTTTAACACCTCACTGACGTCACTGGATAGATCTTACAGGAAAAAAGTCAACACAGAAACAGTTACTCTATTGGCACCCTAGATCAGATGGATTTAACTGATATTTACAGAACATTTCACACCAAAGCTGCATAATATACATTCCTCTCAAGTGCACATGGGTCATACTCAAAGACAGACCACATGTTAGAACACAAAATCAGTCTCTACAAGTTCAAGATTGCTGGGACAGAGCGAAAGTAGTCCTAAAAGGAAAGTTCATAGCACTACAGCACCTAAAAAGCAAGAAAAATTTTTAGTAAACTATCTAACCCTACAATTTAAAGAATTAGAAAGCTCCCCTGTAAAGCCGTCTGGACCAGGGCTTTTGTTTGCTGGGAGTTTTTTTATTATTGCTTTGATTTCATTAGTTGTTACTGACCTATTCTAGTTTTCTGATTTTTCCTGATTCAGTTTTATATGATCTCAGTCATATGTGGGATCTAATAAACAAAATAGACTGAGGAACAAAATAGATACAGAGACATAGAACCACGGAACAGACTGACGAATCTCAGTGGGAAGGCGGGGGTGGGGGAGTGGTTGAGATTAATCTTATATGCATATATGCATAACCCATGGACACAGACAACAGTGTGGTGAAGGTCTGGGTTGGGGACCGATGCAGGTTGGAGGAGGTCAATGGGGGAAAAAAGGGGAGACATCTGTAATACTTTCAACAATAAAGATAAATTTAAAAAATAAATAATATAAGAATAAACTGTGTTTTATGTACTCACAACTATAACTATACTTTTGCACCACCCTATATATTATCCTAGGCAAACAAAAGGAGATGTATGCATAAGATATATGTACACATCTCACATGTATATGTATGTATAGAGTTTTATTGCAGAATTACAACAGTAAAAAAAAATAGGAACTACAAATCTGCTGGTAAGGTTTACATTAAATATAGTCATTTGGGATATTATGTAGCATTAAAAGAGACACTGTAGAATTTTAGGTGCTGACATGTAATACTACATTATTACAAGAAACAAAAACATACTATAGAATAATATGAATATATTGAACACTTCATATTAGAACCAACCATTGAATCTACTCTAGATTATTTTTATATTATTCCCAAATGTGTCAAGATTGAGTTGAGAATTTGTTGTTATATGATCCTATCAGGCTCCTCCAGCTCTAAAATTCTTTAATTCTAAGAACTCTGTACAGCATAGATTTTGGACAGTGTTATTATAAGGCCCAAATAGGTCTACCCTATATGTTTAAGTGTTCTCTATCAAAATGCAACATGAAAATGTTCAAAAATGCCCAGAATTTTAAATCTGCATTGCAAAATTTGTTTTTAACACTACATCCTTGATCATCAATGACAATTCATGTTGAATATGTTCATTTCACAGAAATCACAAATTATAACACATTTCTTACCTCAATAATAATGTAAGAACCATTATATCTTGAAAAAAACTAAGAAAGATAATAGAACCCTTTGAACATTTAAAGAGATAAATAACAGTAAACTTTGCTTATATGGAACTCTTAATCTAAAAATGCTGTCAATCAAATCCCAATAGAAGGCAATCACAGACAGCAACAGAGTCTCTTTGCATTGGGCAGGACTGAGATTTGTAGTGAGAACACCTAGGGATGAAAAACATTCTTTGGGCTCCAGAATCCTAAACAAATCACATAAGCTATCTGAGCTTCAACTGCCTCATTTGTATAATGAATAGCATAATAAAAATATATTTATATTTATATACATATATATATATAAAACACTAAAAAGTTCCTATTACTGTGCCTGGGAAAAAATATGTTCTCAAATACTTGTCTAATAGAAACAGTTGCATCACTGTTGCTTTTGTTAAGGTACCTAGTTTGTTCCCCTTAATTTTTATAACATTCCATGTGTAACCATTCTATTTAATTTTTACACTACATGTTAGAAAGGGGTTTCTTGCCCTCAAAAACCTGTGTGTTGACATATTCCTTTCCACTATAAATATGCAAAAATTTGTTATCTCAGAAACACAGGGAGAAAGCATACTTACAGAGCACTCCCCCAAATCTCCGTGTTGCTCTCCACTGAGCTCAGTGCTCCTCTTAGGCACATATGTCTGCCTCCTATCATTTCTTCATGAGGTTCAGGGCAAAAGGCCTAGGCAAGCAGATGATCTTTGGTTGCCCCTACACTTTTCCCAAACCACCTACAGATAAATGAAACAAGGGGTAAAACACACCTACAGCCTTAAATTTTTTAAATAATAAAAGATGAAAATAAACTCATCCTCACTGTGTACAGTTTATGGCATATCAGAAAACAGAGAAAAACTGCTCCTTGGATCATGCAAAAGCCCCTGAAGTCAAAGGGATTCTTCATATCTCAGCACCCAAGCAGCATTCTCCTCCCTGGTTACTTCCACCCATGCTTGGTAATCCCCTGGGCTGGCCAGATCACGCAACTGCAGCCCACATCTAGCTGGAAGTACTCTCTCTCAGCATGTCCATCAGTGTAAACTAAGTCGAGTAATGATTTTAACATGTTACTTCTGGATTTAATGACCCAATTGAACTTCTAAGCCAGTTAATGAACTATATGCTAGTACACCTAAAGGAAATACTTTATAAGCTGCTCAGTTCTTCCCACATTTAGTATTGCAATTGAGTGAATAAAAGCAAAAAGTGTTTGGTTGTAAGAAAGACTGAGGACAGAAATATTTTCAATTCTTTGTGGCTGCTTTTAAAGCAGTCTGTAGGAATCCACAGAAAGTTATCCAGAGAACTGGTAGTTGTCCACATATAAAGATCTGGGACTTACGTATATAAACCACTTCAAGAAAAAGTGTTCTGGAAAAGTTAATCAACATAAACATGGAGCCCAGCCAGTGTGGCTCAGTGGCTGAGCATCCACCCAGGAACCAGGAGGTCACCGGTTTGATTCCTGGTCAGGGCCCGTGCCGGGGTTTCGGACTCGATCCTCAGCAGGGGGCATGCAGGAGGCAGCCGATCAATAATTCTCTCTCATCACTAATGTTTCTCTCTCTCTCCCTCTCCCTTCCTTTCTCTGAAATCAATAAAGACATTTTAAAAATAAAATAAAAATTTTTAAAAAATAAAAAATTTAAAAATAAAAAAAAACTGTGGAGAGTTCAGAGTGACACAGGCCCTGCAACGGCAGCGAGGACACGCTGGGAGCACACAGGTTTTACGCTCACTTCACTCTTCTAACAAGACAGTAACTTTCACCCCCTGAGTTGAGTCGCCAACACCCCCCAGTTTCTCTGCGTCGATAGGAAGCTGCCTACGTTTTAATTTTGACTCTATACTGCACAACAGGGTGGTCGCCAGCCATATGCGGCTACCGAGCTCTTGAAATCTGGCCAGTCCAAATTCACATGTGCGGTAAATGTAAAATACAAGATATTGAAGACTTAGAACCATTTAAAAAAAAAACAAAAAACAAACAAACAAAAAAAACCTTTAAGGCTGTAAAACGCCTCAATAAGTTTCCATATGGATGTCGAAATTAAAACGTTTTGGACCTATCGTGCTAAATAAGTTATTAAAATTAATTTCCCCAGTTTCTTTTTACTGGTCTAATGTGGGTACTAGAAAATTTAAACCTGGGTGTGTGGCTCACATGACATTTCTATTCGACAGCGCTGTTCTGCACAATTAATAAAAACAAGTAAATAACGAGCCCTGAGCACGCCGAGGCGCCAGCCCTGCGCTGGGTACTCGGCTCAGTACTTGGAACAAAGTTGCGACGCGGTCCCGCGAGAAGCCGCGGAAGTGACTGAGCCGTCGGGCTGCGGCTGGAAATGCAGCGCCGGGAGTCCCCACGAAAGAGCCCAGCTGGGCGGCTGCTCACGTCGGGGCACCTCCCAGGCTGGCACAGGGAAGGCTGGTACAGAGCTGCCCGGGGAGCAAGCTCCTGAGACTGGGGAACAGGCACAAACGGCAAGTCGCAGCCCGGGCCGGCCAGGAGCGCCCGCAGGCGGCCGGCCGCCCTGACAGCCCAGGCGTCCCG